ACCGAATGTTTGGCGTTAATATGTTTGTAGTTCGTTAGTTTAAACGAACTACAAAATATATATATATATATATATAATATATATATTATAAATTTTAGAGAGGCGTACTATCTATCTTTAGGTTTTCGGTTTTTGCATTTTGATATCAGATTCTCAGATTTACTGTATCGTCTTAATTTTAAGGTTTCACTTTTTTGAATATAATTTTCATTAGAGGAGATTCATCTGTTTTCATTATTATTATTATTTTTGTAGTAGAAAATTAGGTTCTCGCCTTGTTTGTGTTATTATTGAAATGTTGTAGTTTACGGTTGATGATATCTTGGAAGGCAGCTGTTTTGTAGTTGCTACTGACTAGAACTTTGGTTAGAAATAGTATTGAAAAATTTTACAAACAAAAAGAATGAGCGGAAAAAAGTTATGATAAACGGACAGGACGAAGCAGAATAAAAGCATTTTGCACACACAAGGAATTGTAAAACGTTGAAACATTCATATATAAGCGCTTATGATGAGTACAATCGAAATAGGACATACCTACACACTTCATCATTAACACCAATGATTTTTTTATTAATTCTAATAAATTGAATAGTAATTATAAAATTACTGTTGGATATATCGAAAGCTCAACTGTAATCAACAACCAACCAGTGAAATGGTATTCGAATGTTTCCGTACAACTGGCACAATACACAGTTTTAATTTTTAACAAATTTCTACATATCAAAATAGTTGCTTCAGTTTAAATTTAAATTACTGTCCATGATTATGAAACGTATTAAACTTAATGAATTTATTTTTAATTTGTATTTAAATATAAAATATGAATTCGTAAAACAAAAATTTAACTAAAAAGCTCAATAACGGTGTCGTTTCCAACATGTTATGTTTACAAGAAGGACTGCTGACGATATCCTACTTATATATATTCTCATGTATATGTATTTGTATGTTTGTGTGTGCGTGATGAAGAAGAAGCACTTATTTAAACGGCATTTAGTGAGACGCTCCCTCGCCGCGTCAAGACAGCCGTTCATGAAGGGGATAATAATAAAAAGATAAAAGATCCTCATCAGAAAGCTTAGCGTTGTATGCAACTTAAATTGCTTAGTTATATAAAGGATGCTATCTACCTACTTATTAAATTATCTAACTTATGATATCTTAGAGTGTATAAGCATCGCGTATATGTTAGCGCGTTACAGATTTCAGGCCCCTTCAAATCAAACATGCCCTGTTCACAAGGCAGGAGTTTAGAACGCAGAAATAGGCAGGTAGGACGCACCTTTCACCGAACCTACTCCGATGTCCGTTCATCCTAATCACCTTAATCACCTGTGATTGCATGCTGAAATCCAGATCAATCCGTCTGTAACGCACCCTTAACTTACCTGCTCACTCAAATTAAAAAACTCAAGAGCCCAATTCATCGCCATTTGGCACCCGCCCCACCACATACATATTGCCTTGGGCTCCAACTTAATAATAATAATAATAATAATGTAAAACTTGATTAAAAACTTACCTATTTATACACTTCCAATGTTCTCATCATTACATTATTGTAATGATGAGAACATTGGAAGCTAAATTGGAAGTTAACTAACGCCGAACATGCTGTGATTTTCATCTGGTCGTTAAACCACTACATATATAAAAAGTATAGTGTGATAAAATTTTACGTCATGAAATCATAGTTTCACTTTTCTGAGACAAATGCTGAATAAGTAAAGTTTTTGAAGTGGTGAAGTTTGTACATTCAACTAAATGATAACCAAGTTACTCTTACGAGATAATACAATCATTCATATAAGACAACTTTATTTCAGTGTACTTAGATATCCCAAAAGCACATTCATCCAACAATTTCATTTATTAAATGCAAATCATTGATGGGCAGAGTAATAAACATTTACGATGCTACTGATATGCTTTTTAGATCTTATAATTCAGTGCAATGTTAAAAACACTGCAGTTTCTTAGTTTCATAAAATAAAGTTTTAGACATTTTTTAAAAATCTTTTTCAATATTTATAATTTTTTCTATCGGATAAAGAAGTAGCAGTAGTTAGTATTAGCAATTTTATGGCTACTTTAATAGGAGTTTTGTTAAAAACCACGAACTGTTGAGCAAAGTCATCTCCAACTCATTTGAACGAGTCGAACTGCCGTTAAAATCTTTAAATAATTTAAATAATTTTGCTAACATCTTGTTCAAAAAGATTTGAGTGTTTTGCTGTGATTAATTCGAACATAACTTGAAATTTATAAATTTTGAGCGAACGTTACTTCAATGTATTTATTTTATCGAAAAGTAGAAAAGTACATTGAACAATTTTTTTAACGGGCTTTTACAAGGAATACAATTTAAAATATATTTTGAAAAAGTGTTTGTTTATTAACGTTTTATGTTTAAAATTACAATTTTCCTACATTATCCTAGTAATGTGCTTTGTTATAATTGAATTGGGATGCGTGCATGTAGGTAGAGGGGTGAATTGAAACCTAACACTGCAAAATTTGGCTGTTGACTGAGACGAAATAAATTAGCATTATTAGCATCGACAGTTGTGTTACATGTTTTGCATAACTCGTTATCATACTTCTACAGAAGTGCATGCAACAGTTATTAAGCCATGCACATTAACAGCGCATTCATTTGAATCTTTATAACCAACTTTTCGACAGAACATCGTCATCATCATTTTTAAATTTCCACAACACTATTGCTTTCTAACAAGTTTGTTATTGATTTTAACTAATTTGCAAATATGATGGACATATGTTTAATTTAAACTACCTTTTGCCATTAATACTTGCAATATTTGCACAGAGCTCTGTAGAGTCATGTAAGAAAAAACATAAGTTCGTTAAAAAATAAATACAAAAAAAATCAAATGTTAAGAATTATGAAAAAGAAAGAAACAGTAAAAATTAATTAAAATTGTAAAAGAAATATCGTTTTTGCATTGCAATGACAGTCATATACTCAGCCGATGTGGCGACAGCTGGTTGTGGCTTCCTCAAACTCCTACTCAGGTTTGCTCATCTGCTTTTTAAATCTAATGCTCAATTTTGTAAACTTTATTAATTTAAATATCAGATAATTTAAATTATTTTATAATGATATTATTTCATGATTATATTTTCCACATAGATGGCGTGGTAGCATATATAAGTTGCTGAAGGTTGATTTTTTCCTCTACGTAATGACGTTTTATAGCTTGGCCTTGATTTATCGATTCGTCCTGACGTCGGATCAACAAACGTTAAAAAATGTTTTTTTCTTAAATTAAAAAATTAAATAAAAATTTTCATCAATTCTTTGATTGTTTTAAAAATGTAACCTAACATACTGAAACAAATCAAAATATAACGTATCGATCTGCAGAATTTTCTACTTTATCGCAGAGCACTGCCACGTCTTCAACAGTTCAACTGCGGTAAATATTTCCTTAATCGTGCTCTTAACATTTGAAATTTCTTTTACAATTATATTTGGTTCCTAACATCCACGCAATCATTCTAAGAATTATTACATGTTGCTAAAATTAAATGATGAAATAATAATTTCTAGTTGGCCTTTGTACTCGGTTTCTTCATAAACCTGGTAATGCAGCGATGGAACAGCCTGGTGGGCAGCATTCCATCTCCAGACAGAATGGCCATGTTTGTGACTGCCAACATCAGGGGACACGACGACAAGGTGAGGCTCATGAGGCGGACCATCATGAGGTTGGATCCCTACCTTCCTCTCCCTTACCCTACCTTCTCCTCTCAATAGTCTTCTCGTTTCACTTTTGTTTTGTTATATTGTATGGCATTATTCTATACAAAATTATTAAAAATTCTCATTTCAACTTTTCAAAAATTTTACACATTCAACTATAAGTCTATGATAACATTTATTTCAGTTATTATTGAAACTGTATCATGAATATAAATATTTATATTCATATATTTCTTGAAACTAACAATGAAGATATAACGTTGCCGATGTAGAAGAAAATTAAAATATTGACGATTAATATTATAATGCACAGATACTTGTGTCTGTCCTACTTGATCACATTATCATCAATCAGTCCAGTTGTTAAGAAGAAGTTCCCAAAGTTTAAAAACATGGTTGAGGCTGGTTGGTGGAGTCATATTAAAACTATATAATAATCGTACTGATTGTAAAGTTTCAATTTTATTTTAAATTTGTATTTACAAATTTTTACATTTGTAAAACCTATTCAAGTTTAAAAACAAATAAATAAAGTAAAAATTGAAGATTTCAGCTTTGAACTAGCCACTTGCTAATGATAAGTAATAAGTATTTCAGATTAGTGTCACGAATTCATCTATGCAGGTTTTATGTTGGAGAATGAACTGCAGGTGATAGAGAACATAGATTCGAGGGACAACAAATATTTCGTTCCGATTGCCTGGTGCACCACTCTGCTGGCCAGAGCTCGCCTCGAGGGCAAGATCAAGGATGAGTCTGCTCTGAAAACGTTGATCGATGTCCGCTTCATGCTTATTCATTAAAATTCAAAATAAATTCATAAAATTATTTACAAGTTAATTTGCATTTGCGCATTTATTTACACTGCTTTGCATAAAAGCGTGATTTGAAATTTTTTCAATTTATTCAAACTTCTAAAAATATACTTACATGTTTCAATTCAAAATATTGTTATGTCACTATTTTTATATGCAAATCTTTTTAGGAAGTTAACGACTTTCGAGGAAAACTGGGAGGTCTGTTCACGTTCGACTGGGCTCCGTTGCCGCTCGTCTACACGCAGGTCTGTAACTTTCTCAGATGTTGGGTGCATCATGTTTGTGTATCGGAAAGGTATCTGTATTGTGTATGTGCGTGTGCTGTGTGCCTCATGTATATGCATCTGTATTGTATATGTGCGGGTGCTGTGTGTCTCATGTATATGCATCTGTGTTGTATATGTGCGTTTATTGAACCTGTGTCTATTTAATGGCTGCTGCGAATACATTACATAGCTGTGGCATTAATTAACGATTTAGCATTCATTAGACTATATTACGCTGCCATTCACATATGAGTAGAGGAAGGTAGTTTATGTTTACATTGTTTCCCCATTTTGATATAACGATTAGTTTGGTTTGGTTAAGTTAGTGATCAAAATTACAAAAAAATGTTGAACTACAAACTTTCGTCCGTTGTTCAGGTGGTCACAATTGCGGTGTACAGTTATTTCATCCCAGCGTTGATCTGCAAACAGTTCCGATACGGGCCAGGCAACTTTCTCATTTACCAGGATTGGTTCCCAATTTTCACTTTTTTGGAATACTTTTTCTACGTTGGATGGCTAAAAGTAATGAGAACATTTAGAATGCACTAAAATAAAATTTGCTCGCAACTTGATACACTTTATTTCAACTACCATTTAAAATTTACATAGGTTGGTGAATCTTTCATAAATCCTTTTGGGAAAGATGATGACGATGTGGATTTCACAACATTGATTGATAGAAATTTAAGGGTAAGGCAAACCTTTAGTCCTAAATGACACGTTAAAAATAATGAGATTTTTCAACAAAATTGACATTTCGTCTGACGGAAACGAAAAACCAAATAAGGTGTCTTACCTGGTTGTAGATGACATGCACAGCGAACATCCAGAACTAATAAAGGATCAATATTGGGAAACCACGTTTTCACAAACACCGGGTCAAGAACATACTTCCGGCCCGAATAACATGTCCTATCTGGGATCTGCTCTTGACGTTCAGTCAGTGCACCTTTGTCTTTTTTGTTTACTGATAAGTTGAAATTGTTTCGTTAAGATTAACTTTTAAATTTTTATTAATAGATTGAAAGAATCCGGAAAACATCGGTCGATAGATGGAAACAAACAAGAAAAATCCTGGTGGAGAAAGGGAAGTAAAGCCTCCTCGGGAACCGATCGTCAAAACTCTGCTAATTCTGACAAAGATGCCCAAAATGTGAAACTCTCTTCTAAGAAAAAGCAAAAAAGTTGTCTAACTTTTTTTTGTTTTAAACCGTGCTTATGTATTCGTTTTTAAATAACTCTTGAGAGCATTAGATTTTCAAACGGTAAAATAAATTCATGATATATACAGCGAATAGTATACAATACAGCCAGTGGAAGATCTATGCCAGTAAAACTTAGTTTTTAGGAAAAAAACAAAAACACCGTTTTAAAGTACAAAATGCATCGAAAAAGGTCGCCAGCCTAATTTTGACCAGACTAGTGAACATTTGGAGAATTTCTTGCCCCTCGTTAATTTTGAAAAATATCAAAATTAAACAAATTTTTTTCTCTTCGACAATTTGTTTAATCTGGCACTATTATTTTTGAATGTATCAGGTAGTATCGACTCCTCAACTGAAGATGGAAAGCTTTCAAAAGTTGGTTCTTCAAAAGTAAACTTAATGAAACAATTATCTTTTTGATAAAATATATCAACAGTAATTTATCATAAAACCAAAAATAACATTTTGAAATTTTAATACAACTACCGGAAGTTAATAGAGATTGTGATAACAGACGCCGATGAAAAAAACCTAAAAAACATGCTGGAGCCTGTTCTGGAACGTTAGTCTTATAACAAATTAACAAATTTTATTTTCATTATTTTACTTAAGGATAATTTATCTAATGAAAAATGTTTTAAATTTTTTCTTTAAATTAGACAATCAGCGAATACACAAAAGCTAATTTTATTAACAATTTCAAGGCAAAAGATTTACAACAAATTTTATTTGTTTTTAATTGTTTAAAAAAGTAAATAAATTTAATAGATAAAAAGACAAAAAAATTAAATGTTACGAAATAAGAATGAAACAAATTTGGCACAACAGGTGATGAAGCTTCTCCTAGCCCCACGTCCTTTATGCTTTCCTCCCATCACAAAAATCAGGAAGGCCCAGATGACACCTACCCTGGCAAAATATTGCTCTAAACCTCCTTGGAGGAAAAAATTAAAATAATGTGTGTGGTAATTTAGGTTATGTGCGCACTTTAATTCAAGTGCAAACTTTGGAGATTTAAGTCTTATAATCCATTTCGATATTAATGTTTAAAACTTATATGTACTATCGTATGTGGTAAAAATAATAATGTTTTGAACGGTTATGGAAAATTATTCTTTTTTTTTGTGGATATTTCGTCTGGTTTAGGCTATTTTATCACGACTTTTTGTTGTCCCATTAATTTTTAATAATAGCGTTGATATTATTAAGCAATTAATTTTGTTCCTAAAAACCATACTTTTTTCATATTAAATTTAAATACATCCAGTGAGCTACAAAAAATGTCACATAATGATTTTAGGTCTTATATCAAAACCTCAAAATATTGGTATTACCAAGTATAACCATTAGTAATGTGTAAAATAAATTTTATTATAAAATAGGGAGTGAAGTGTGATATGTGAAATAAATGATAAAATAATGGTATACATAACTATAATAATGCATATATTTAATGTTCGTTATGCACAATTGGCATTCGTAGAATACATCTTATCTATTTGTTATAAAGGCGTTACACATATAGTTTTAATTATTTCTATTTAAATATGGTGAAAGGATTTTCAAATTAGTGGAATAAAAATGCAATTACATTCGTAACAAGATTTCAAAAAAAATTATGAAAAATCCAAAATGAATGGCAATAACTGAATTTGGAAACACTACTATATGTCTAATTTTAATATTCTAAAATAAATTTTTTCGGCACAAACATAATTTCATCAATAAGTACGGCATGACGTAATTCTCGTTTTTTATCGGATTAATTAGCATAGAAATTTATTTACGAAACAAATTTTCATTGATAATCATAATAACCAATAAATGTAACGTTTAACAAACTTTTTTGAAAGATTCATGTAAATTTAAAGTTGCAATTGGCAAAGATTTTCAGACTTCTTGAAGTGTACCAACAATAATTTTTTGTTTTTGTGTTCAGTGGCCGTCATCCAGATTTTAGTTAAAGAAATTCAGATGCCTAGCTAATATGTGTAGATTCCTCTCAAAGTAGAACATTTTATTTTGGTTTTATAATGTTCAATTTTTGAAATGTATATAGATTTTCCCATAAACTAATATATAATCCTTCATACATTACATGATTTTTCAAAAATTTTCAGTGCACTTTTAAAATGTTATACCATCGAAACATTCAACCTGAAAATTACAACATCTAATTAATTAAATGAAATTAAATAACTAATTTATTATAAAAGGTCATCAGACCGTTTGACATTAAATCTTCTTTCATACATTTGTAATCACGTTACAAACAAAATTTTTCACGGTTGTGACCGTGTTAATTAAGTACATTTGATTTTCCACTACTTAGAGTTGGTTGTTAAATACAGTTATGAACGAGTTGTTGATAAGTTCAGAGTTAAAGTGTTATTATAATAGTGAAATATCACTAATTAGAAACGCACTATGTGTCAGAAGAATTCTAACAGTTGAAAGCTGATCGTGAACATGTGACGACGAATGATGATTAAGTAGGCTGTTCTTTGAAGTTGAGCGCATCCAATCAATCATTCAACATGCCGCTAACTCTTGAAACGAATAAATATATTTCGGATACTCCGCATCCATGTTATTGAGTTTCACGATGTTTTATTTTAGTCTTCTATCATGAAAATGAGCGAACACTAATAAAAAATTTCTTGAAGTATGAACAAAAAGATTAAAACGTTTTTATAGCAGTCCAGTTAGGTTACGTAACATACTGATAAAATAGTTATTCGCGCCATATATGACTAATAACAAAACTATGCAAGTAATGGAAAGATCTCATCTAGCTCCATTCATGCGCATAAACTCATATTATATAACCCAATGTCGTCAACCCTATAATGCAACACATTCTATCAACCTGGGGTGTCCTACACCCCAGGTTCAAACATGATGGAATAATGTTTTGTAAGTATTTTATTGAACATAATATAAACAAAATAATATGAAACTGATAAAAAATACAATGTTTTTGTTTAGAATAAATTGTAATATATATATATATATATATATATATATATATATATATATATATATATATATATATATATAACAATGTTATATTATAACTTTTCACAATAGTCTTACCTAAGTTAATTATTTGAGGCAACTGTAAAATATTGATTAATTAGCAACAATGTTTTATAGTTTATTTGTCGTTTTAAGCATCATTACAGGTTTCACAAACCAGACGGCTGTGATTTTGACAACAAGGCATGATGAACATCGGCTTTTGGTTTTCCGATCCGATGAGCGTGGGCAAATGCCACATCTCTTCTGTCCTGAAGATTCTGGTTGCTCTGTCTGAACTGCTATGGCTGGTTGAAAACCCATTGCTTTGAATGCCAGCTTCACTTGCTTCTGCATAACAAACAGATTTTCACTTCGTCGTTGAAGGTGTTCTTCTACCAGCTCTTCAGAAAGATTTTTTAAAAATAAACTTCGTTTGTGCATCTTTTTTTCATTCCATTGTGGATTTTTTGCTATCCAAACAACATATGCTGCAACACAAGCAAACATCAATGACGTTAAAGAAGAGTGTCATTGGCCATCTGCTAATTTTTCGTTTGCAGCTGTACAGTCCAACTAGATGATCGAGATTGTCTGCTCCTGATTTTGTTTTGTTGTAATGATCAATAATGTCTGGTTTGTTGTTGTTGTCAACATCAACTGCAGCATCATGATGAATGCTCGAGAGCAGAATTATTGCTTTCCCTTTTTTAGGAACATAGCTGGTCAATGTTAATTGATTGTCAAAACAAAATATTGATGACAATTCTTCCATTGATCGATTAGGAAGTAATTCTTTTGGTATATCTTGCTTATTTTTTCGCATTGTTCCAACAATGGTAGTTTTCACGGTCAAAAGGTCTTCGACGAGACTACATGAAGTGAAGTAATTATCCATGGTTATATTGCGTCCCGTGTTGTTCCATGGTTTTACCAAACGTTTTACCAGATCCAAAACGTTATTTGCACTTGCTCCATCACCAGGTTGTCTTCCCACATAAATTTCGCCTTTCAAAGGGTACGATGTCTGACTGTCACAAGCCCAAAAAATTTTTAGACCATATTTCCCAGGTTTGCTGGGTATATATTGACGAAAACTACATCGACCTCTAGTGGCAATTAATTGTTCATCAACCGTAATATTACTGCCAGCTTTATAAACACACGAAAGAGTTGACTGAAACATTTCCCAAAAATCACGTAATGGAGCAAGTTTATCTGTTGCGCGACGTTCTTCCCTTGTTGCGAGGTTGTCAAATCTCATAAATCTCAGCAGTTCTTTAAACCTAGTAAGACTCATGGTGGCTCTGTATATAGGCCGGCCGTATTTAGATGACCAAAGTTCATCAACATATTCTTTTCCTGATTTCTGCAAACCGGCATGTATAAGCAATCCTATGAAAGCTCTAACCTCAACATCGTCAGTTTCCACCCACACACGTTGTTCAATATTTTCCTTTTGATGTGCTTCATTCCATTCACGAACATTTTTATTTGCTCGACGATTAGTCTCTCTCACAATAAGAAAAATCATTTCTTCAGTCATAAATAATGCAAAACTGTCAGGCAAGTTTTTGGATCTTTGTCCAATAGCAGTAAGGCCATGTTTTTGAGTCAAAACATTTGCTGCTGCTGTTTGTGCTAATGGTTTTGCAGTTTGCGACCAAATACGACCATTTTTACCTGTGAAAACTTAAGCAGCAATGACTTGAGGCAAATAGCACCTTACCATTTTACGACGAACCGGTTGCGGCCCACAATTGAATCAGAATCTGCATCACTTTTTTCTTCGGTACCACTACTGCAATTCTCATTTGAATCTTGTTTCACTTCTTAACATTCAAAATCAGATGAATTATCTGTATCCGAGAAATCACTTTCGCTGTCGGACTGCAATATTGCAGCAACCACGGCATCAAGGCTAAATCGACTTTGCTTGTCCGCCATTTTTACTTCTTGTTCAATTTTTTTGAAATTAAATTATTTATTATTATTAATTAATTTTTGTTTTTATTCTATTCTATTAAGTATTTATTTGCAATACAAATTTTTAGAGACAAAATAAGCCAAACAAAAATTAGATGATTGTTATGTAATGAGAAAAGTATGTTTATATTTCAAAAATTGATGAAAATTAAACTTAAATTAAAATTGATAATGCATATTAAATTTGATGCTATAACATTTATTATTATTATTTCATTATTGCAATACTAATTTTAGTTTAGATGACTTCAAGACTATTGGGGTGTAGGACACCCCAGGTTGACAAAATATGCCGTAAGACACTTCAAACGCTCACATACTCAAAACCAAATATTTGAATTAAGCCAGATTTTGCCATATTCTAGGTGAAGGAAGGTTATAAGATGTCATAAAGGGATATAATTTAATTTGTTCAAATATCTGAGATACAGAGTTATTTATACCCTCTGGGGTGTGATACATAAGGATAAATATGTTTATTATATACATATAAGTTTTTTGTTTGTCGTTTGTGTGTTGGTTTGTACTGAAGATGCGTGTGACATACTAACGTGCATGTTTCGAAGCGGATATTGAAACCATAATGTATAAACCATAATACGTATAAAACACGCGTTTGAAACGCATGTAAATATAAATAAATACATAATATATACAAATATACTCACGCACACACACACACATTCACACGCAGATATGTACGTACTTATATACGATAATTAAATTCATCAATTATTTTCAGTTGTAGTCACACATTCGAACGGTATATAAATTAGTTTGTCATTGCAAGTTTCTTCAAATTAGGCGAATTAAACGAGCATAATTTTAATAGTTAACATTTAATGAAATTGAATTCAAATCAATATAAGGACAATTAATTAAAAAATAACAACATAATTAGCAATCGAATCGTTAAATTAACTTATATTTTAATTATTGGAGCATTAAAATGACGGTCACATATTCAGCAGAAGTGGCTACGGCTGGCTGGGGTTTCTTGAAACTCTTGAAAAGGTTTTCATAAATTTTTTATTCAAATAGAATAATATTTTGAATTTTTTATAAAAAAATTAAACAAAACAAACTAAAAAATAACAGTTAGTGCTTCGATACACGTTTTTTCTTGTTAAATTAATTGACAATACAAAATTTTCATTTAGATGGCAAGGTAGCATATACAAACTTTTAAGATTTGAGTTTCCAATATACTTGACGTCATTCTACCTTCTTGCCATTATCTATCATTTTGCGCTGGATGACAAGAGGAAGAGGTAGTTTCACATAACATCTTTTTGAGTTTTTAAAAAACTACTAACTATGTCTGTAGGCATATTTTGAACAAGCAATTAATGTTGAATGTTTTTGTAACCTTGCAGAGATTTCGAGTTTTTAGCCGAACACTGTCACGTTTTCAACAGCTCAAAAGCGGTTTGCATAATTTTTTTTCAACATTTCGTTTAATTTGTAATTATTTAGTTTTGAGTGAACTTTCATTTAATTAATTTTATGTAATCTTTGTAAATTAGATATTACAAATATTTAAAATTTATAAAGTGCAAATTTCTTTAATGAATATTATTTTCTCACACAAATTTAAATAGCTTGCATTTGTTCTTGGTTTTTTCGTGAGTTTCGTGATGCAGAGATGGACGTACGTGGTTAACACAATTCCATGGCCTGACCGCATGGCTATGTTCGTCACTGCCAACATGATTGGCCACAGTGAGAAGATCAGGCTGATGAGGAGGACCATCATGAGGTCAGTTGTCGCTTGGGTTGTGCAAACATGCTTTCATACATCTCGAGTGTTATTATAACAAGTGAATTTTCAATTTTGCACAACTTTTAGATATTTTTGTTTGGCATATTTGATCACAATGTCTTCAATAAGTCCTCCCGTCAAGAGAAAGTATCCCAAGTTCAGGAGCATGATTGAAGCTGGTAATTAACTCCAAAATTTGAAAATTATTTACAAAGAAGTTAACCACAAAAATTCACCCGGATAAAGGTTTCATGTTAGAGAATGAATTGCAAGTGATTGAGAGTATAAAAGCAAAAGACAACAAGTACTTTGTTCCTCTGGCCTGGTGCACAGCTCTGGTGGCCAGGGCGCGACAGGAAGGAAAGATCAAAGATGATTTCGCCGTCAAGACTTTAGTCGATGTAAGATTGTAAATTTTATTTCAATTTATTATTATTTCATAGGGTTTATTTATTGTTAGAATTTACTTTTGAAATGTTCAAGCATTCGTCAGAAAAAACATTAAAATATTCCCCGCAATAATAAATATTTTGCTAGTCGTATTTGTGCCAGTTTCATTATTTTCTTTTTTAAATATTTGCTTAATTGTAGTTCGAATCATTAAATATTTTACAACAAATATATTAAAACATGTGGTTCAAGTTATATATGCCCCAGTTACAAAAACTTACACAAAATTTATTTGTATTAATATCAGGAAATTAACCAATTTCGCGGACAACTTGCCAGTCTGTTTATTTTCGATTGGATCCCATTGCCAATGGTCTACACCCAGGTAGAGTTTTTAAAAACATCAGCATGGAATAATGTAGGTACATTTAAGATATTTTTTTGAAATTTTTACAAAGGTAGTGACAATAGCTGTATACAGTTATTTTATTCCTGCCCTGTTGTGCAAGCAGTTTCGATTTGGCAATGATAACTCTCTTTTATACCAAGATTGGTTTCCAATTTTCACATTTTTAGAGTTCATTTTCTACATGGGTTGGCTGAAGGTAGAATTACAACTTTATAATGCATAGATTGTAAAATTGAATTGAAATAATAAATTTGATTTAAAAATTAGGTCGGTGAGTCATTCATCAACCCATACGGGAATGACGACGATGATTTGGATTTTGACACTCTCATTGACAGAAGTTTTAGGGTTGATTCACTTTTAATTAACATCTATTAAAATTATTGTAATGATAATTAAAATTTCAACAAATCGAAGGTAACTTATCTGATTGTGGACGAAATGCATAACGAACATCCTGAATTGATTAAGGACCAGTATTGGGATTCAACTTTCATCGAATCAGCACCAGCAAACGCTCCAATGCGAAGTCGCAAATCTTCTTATCTGGGATCAGCTTTAGAACTTCAGTATGTAATATTTCCCTTTCTACTTGATAGCCTTAGTTTAAATTAGGCGTGTTAATGTATTTTAAAAAATTTATTGAAATTGCATTTTTTCATTATAGATTAAAAACATCTGGCAAACGATCATCCATAGCAGAGAAAAACCTGAACGACCTTGAAGTTGATGACAAGGGAGAAAGAAAAACTAGTGGAGGCAGAATTTTGAAAGGGACCAGCAGGAAAAATTCCACAGCATCAGAAGACGTCGGATCGTCCAGACAGCGCAAAGGTTTGTACTCTCGAATAATTTATTTAATGACATCTTTTAATGCTAAATATTTGAGTTAACAAAATTTTTATTTGATCAAAAGTGTAAAATTTTTATATGTAATAATAAATTACTTGTGTTTTCGTTCATAAATTCTTAATCTAACTATCTCGAGATTTATTGCTATCTACCTTATTGACATAATTAGAAAGCAGTGTCAGTATCGATATCGACGGACGGTTTTTGAAATGCGATTCTATAAAGGTTAATTTCACAAATTTAATTTGTTTATTAGAGTAAAAAATCCGATTGTAAATTTGTTGACAATTTCAACATTTTTTTTCGGCGTTACATTCACCAAATTGAAACTTCTCTAGCAAAAACATCCATCGGAGCAGTACACATTAGAGAACATAACTGTTGCCGAACAAGATGTTCAAGAATCAAAACTTAAAAAAGTGCTGGAAACTTTAGTAGAAGGTTATTTATTGATAACAATTTCATTTTCATCAAACGACATAACAACGCATATTTTCAAACTTGTTTTTGTTGTTAACTTATTTCTGTCAAGTCATATTGCAAACTTTGGTAAGAAGTTTTTTTAATTTAAACATTTAGAACTGTGTAGTCATTTATATTTAAATAAATAAATTATGATAATTTTAGGCGAGGAACTTTCATCAAACCCATCCATGGCCTCACTGAATGGCAGTGCCCACAACAGAGCAGGGCCCGCCGATGCCAATCCAGACGTTGTAACGTTTTAGCCATTCATTCACCACCTACTTCCTATTCATTATTTAGTTTTAACTTATTACAAATATATTGAGATATTGTTGTTAATTTATTTTTGAAGTTTTTAATATTTTTGATATTTTCTAACATTTAGTTAGTCATTTTTTACTATTTATTGGCTTGTTTGTAATAGCTGAAGAAATTGAAAATGACAGGATCGATCATTTTAAAAATTATAGTAAATAATTAAATTAAATTAACCATTTGATTTTTTAAAATTATGCAGTCAACTATGTGTTTTTTAAATTGAATTAAATTAAATTATTAAATAAATAATTTAATAAATTATTAATTAAATTATTTAAATCTGTATTATTTAAATTGATTCTGACCTTTTTTGCCCGTATTACCAAGTTTATTTGATTTGAAATTTTTTTATTTAAATTACTAATAATAATCTGTTAAATTGTTTGAAAATAACATTTATACAATCATACGATTTGTTGAACACAAAATTTGAAAACATAAAAATGATTAATTCTTAAAACGATCAAATTAAAAAATCTTTTTTAAATTTTACAATTCAATTTTTCAAACATTTGTTCAACGAACAAACGGTGTTAATGCTATAACCTTACAAAACTAAAATAGTTATTATAGATCACAAGAAAATAGATTTAGATCTGAAAAATGTAAGTGAAATATATTGGGTTGCCATGAATGGAATGAAGCATTAAATGAATGTTGACGTTGAAAAAATTTCTTTTATGTGTAACTGTTGAGATTGTTTCATTGTTTCACAGATGTCATGAGTTTTATACCATTTGACGGCAATTGTGTATGCAACAGAACTTTGAACAAACTTTTAATAAAACACATTCTTCACTTAATTTTTCTTGGTTTCGATGTTAGTTCGTCTGAATTCGAGTTCGAATGACGTTTCTTAACATTCTAAAGACTCTTATATTGTTACATTTATTAGACATATTTAGTTTTAAATCAAAAATTAAATAAAATTCTGGCAAAATCATAAACGCAATAATGCTACCCAACAAAAAGCTTACCTACTTAAACATAAATAACACTTCTTCATAATTTAAAATATAAATGCTATCGCGATGTTAATTTATGATTCCAGTGCGGAATATTATATGTATGTGTATAGCAATAGCCAACTATATCATAAACAGTAGAATGGTCAATGTTTAATGCGTTTACAAACATTTTTAAAAATTTTGTTTTCATTACATTTGCAGGCACTAAATTGTCTTTATGCCTTTAGCTTCCTATTAGGTACCAAAGGCAGCCAAGTCGCATTATTGAAAAAGGCAAATAAATAATTCAAAATAAAATAAAAAATGTAAACCATCACAAAATAGTAAAATATATAGTTGTATTAATTATAAATTTTACCACAATAACCACTAACACCCTCTTACAAGTTATAATTTTTACGTACTTGAATAATAAAAATGAATTTAAATTATTGAAAGATTACACCCGGTTGTGATTTTTTTTTACTGAAAGGCAGCGATCTAAACCATTAGGATATTGTCAATATTGAGAATGCACTTGACAAATGTGAGACGAGGCGTTGAAGATTATCATCAATCATCGAACTAGAGCCAACGCGCTTCTCTGTGCTCTCCTCAAATATTTGTCCTCTTATCGTTGTCAATACTCTGGTAGTAATTTGCGTGTTGTTCCTGCCCGGCTGTTGCAATCATCTTACGGAGCATGGAGAAAATTACATTAGCATTGGTAATTTTATTTTTTCGCAGTTTTTATTTTAAAGTCCTTCTTTTTGTGGTAACATTTTTCAATTGAACATTAAAATATAAAATAAACTTGATAAATGAAATGAATATTAATTTTTTATTTACTTTTTCATATTTTAAACTTTTAATAAAACTTTGTTGACTAATAACTTTTTTATAGCTCGTTGCTTGAGCGTTATAGTGTTATGTTATAAATATTTTTAATCATATTCAACTCAGCGTCGAGGAACATAATGTGTGTGGAGAAATCTCAATACCGCCAGTCCCAAAGCTACATTTCCAAGCTTATTTCCGTGAAATTTTTTCTTTTTAACAACTTTGTCTGGTAATCGGCAAAATGATTCTTACTGCTTCTCATAATGTCGTCAGCCTGGGTCTTCAGTACGCAATTGTCACCTTTGTGTAGAATGAACAAAACTTATTTCACGTTTCTTGGTATGTTGGTTTCAACTAATGATTTGTCGACAGAATCAACTTGGTTTACAAAGCCATAGCTTTTTTTCACCATATAGAAAAGAACTCCGCTAAATAGAATTAATTTCAATTGAACTGTCTTCAAATTTGTTGAAATTTAGTACGAAAAGCCACAGGTTGAAACATAATTATATTTAAATTGGTTAAAACAATTTTCACATTTTTTATTTCTTCAACAATTTTTAATTTAGCACTCTTTTATTAAAATTTGATAACTGTTCTAACACGTTTGAAGTTTGACAACGTGAACACGTCAAGACTGCTACTTCGAGTAAGTATCAAAACACATGCTCCGGACATTTTTAAAAATGTTTGCACTCGTCTGTTTTAATGTAACTCAGGTGAAACAAAGAGGTACAAAAATAATCTTTAGTTATTAAAAAAATAATTAATATGGTATTCAAAATTTAAGACAAAATTTTTCTTTAATAAATTAATTTTATTTTATAAAACATTCATAAAATATAAACCATATAAATATATCAAAGCAGAATTTCTCGTCACAAACGTCAGGAAAACCTGTCTGCGATCATTTTAAAAAGATGAACATGACTGCAGCGAACATCGTGTCATGCAGAGCTGTGCAGACAAAAAACAATAACAACGAACAACCAAATAAATCAATCGTCAAACGCCACATATAAGCTCCATGAATAAATTAGCTCACAAGATGAGATGGATGCCCCAATTTATTATGAAGCTCACACAGTCTTTATTGTTTTGCGGTTTGTATGTCTGTTTGCTGGCTATTTATAGAACACCACCATCTGGTTCAAATTTATTCAGTTAATCTTGTTTGATACTTGTTAAGTTTCATTTAAGGAATTCTTTTCTGGTGAATGTTAATTCTCATACGTTCCAGGTTGCATGAATGCTTTTTAGTGTTTGGAGTGAATTGTCTGTTTTGACCATCTGCTTGCTTTTAAAATTTTAAAATTGTATAGAATTTTTAACAAGTTTTTTCAACTAAACTTGATTTTTTTGAATGTTATTATTATTATTATTATTCTTTAAAAAATCAGAATCTAACAAACGCAAAACTGTTACAGAATGCAAGGCAATAGTATAAAATGATAACAAAAAATAATTTGCGGAGAAAAAATGCTTAAGCATGAAAACTATGGAAAATAAAATAAAATAATGGTTTAAAATGATAAATAAATAAAACAATTTATTAATGGACCAGTTAATGACTTAGTAAGTTAGTTAAGTAATCGACAAAAAAAATTAAACTGAGTAAATGACAAAGTTTTATTGAGTGCTAATCTATTTAAGGTGTCTTGTGGTGAAGGTCTTATCCTGATATGTTAATTGAATGGTGACTTGAAAGTTATGCTTGCGTTGATGAAGGTTGTGTGTAATAATTTTGCTTGGTAGTAGTAGAGGATGATATGAGATATTTTCAATTCGTGCTCAAACATTTCTTGAAAATCAACCAGTTTTTTTCTGAAAAAATAAGATATTGCGCTTTCCCAACCATGTTTGCCGACCTGCCTGGATCAAATGCTATCCTTAAAAACTTGCCAACTCATCTATATTACTAGCATGTAACGGGCACTTGTGTATAGAATTTAAAACAAATATAAATACGCAAGTTTTATTAATACCATTTTTTTAATGTTCAAAAATAAAAAACAGACTAAAAAATTTTTACACACGCGAAGAAAAACTTATTTACGCAATCGTCAAATCCGCAAAATGTTAGAGTTAATAAAAAACACATCTCGAACGCTTCTTTGCTTTATTGCCAACTCCGACTGTTAACGTTCGCACTGTTCTACTTTGATTTATCGCCTTGATAATGAGAACATCGTC